TAAGATTTTAAAAGAAAAATAAAATAAAATAATAATTGTAAGTGAAAATATTTGAAAAGAAATTTAATGTAAAGTTAAAAATTAACAATAAAAATGTAAAACATTTAGGTTTATTTATAAAAAAATTTATTTAAAGAAAATATTAAAAAGTATAGAAAACGTCTAGTTTGAATTTTTTTTATGATGGTCTACTCAAACTAATAAAGTTTAAAATTAAAAAAAAAATGTTTCTTGTTAGAAATAATTAATCCATAGTCAATTTCTCTGTCATTATTTTAATGCCAAATTTATTTTACACCATGTTTGTAATTATGTTTCATTTTTTTTCTCAAATAAACTTATATTTTAAAATATATATATATATATATAAAAGTCAACCCTCCAAATTTTATTTACTCTAACAAACCTGTTTATTATTTATGTTGAATTAAAATTCTATGTGAACAATGATCGGTAAGAAGTTTATGGTATGAATAACAACTCTTCACAAAGCGCCGAACTCTGACCTATAAACAACAAACGGATCTATTTATATAAATAAAGTTTTAAAATAGTTAGTTAACTAATTTTTAGAAAAATAGATTGATTTGAAAAAATATATATATTTTTAATTTTAGTTAACGATAATATTTGCTCAGACACAGTGTGCTTAGGACGATTTTAATTATAAGTGTTTCTTATTTTTCTTTGTGATTACTTTAATGTTGATGGGTTAGATGTGAAAAATGCATTAATCTCTCTTAAATATTTAAAAAAGAATATTATGTTTTTTTCCTTGTAAATATATTATTGTGGTTAAAAAAGGGTGGGAGGTGGAAATGAATTATTCGAACTTTGGTACATGGGAATGAAATGATAAACGTGGTGTTGAACGAAAGAGCACTACTAGGGAGTACGAATTTTCTTTTCAAAGTTTTGACAAATGCACATGTCGTTTATTTACTTTTCATAAAAACAAAGGTGTTGTATACGTCTCCACATGGCCAAGATAAAATTAAATAAAATTTGAATCTGATGTATTTATTTATAAGTTCTGGTCTTCAATATTAAAGTTTTGTCATATATTTCTTAAAAGATGAGTTAGATAATTATATTGTTAGTCATAGACCATTAATAACTTAGTATTTTTCTCATATTATTAATTTATGTATTGAATATATTTATGTATAAGTTAGTTTTGACAAATGTTCATGTTGTTTATTTACTTGATGTGCCTGGTATTCCACATGTTTGGTATAGATTTCTCGTCTAAGTTTATAGTTGATATGTGTCGTTCCCAAGTTCTTCACTATTATCCTTCCCAGTTTAAAACAAGCTTGTCATGTGTTGACTTTACTTTGAAGTTATATTATTACGCTACCATCCCAAGTGGTCTCCTCTAGCCACCTTCCTCAAGAGTTGGCATAACATTTTTCAGAGCATCATCAAACACCACTCCCTTCCATCTTAAATCATCTTTGGTTGAGAGCCTTAGCCCTTTTCCCCACCAAATTCCACACCATATCACCCTTCTAAGCATCCCCATGACATCTTTTCTAACTTTGGTCCAACCTAACTAGGAGGAATATTATCATAATAAGTCTAAAATGTAAGACTTTTTATATCTATTCTTGAAGTAACAGGTATAAAAGACTTTTTATACATGTTCTGGCAATAATAAGTACAAAAAGTTTTTATATATATTTTCGAAATAGTTGATATAAATGTGAAATTTTTTACAACTAATTTAGAACATGTATAAAAAGCGAATATTTTTTATACTTATTCTTTTATACTTGTTTAAAAACCGACATAAAAAGCCTTTTCTCACGTAATAATCTAGTATGTGATGGTTGTTCACCATTTTCATAAAAATTATTTTCAAACATGACTTTTTTTTAATTAATTTGTTAACATTATTTCATAGAATACAAAAGTGAGAGAGTTGTTTTAGTAGCGTGACACTTTTTCTTTACTTATATTTGTGTATTAGGTTTTGAATTTATCTAGCAACGAGGGCATTGCTGGATTGATTGACGTTGAATGGCCTTCTAAACCTTTACAAATAAGCAATTACACAACAAAGAAACTCCCACATTTTGACCATTAGTTTGAAGTTTAGTGTGTAGTATTTAAGTAACCATGCCTCATAAATTTGTTAGCTTTTGTAATAATCATTTTAAAAAACATGTTAACAATAATTTTTTAACAATTAAAGAGTGTAAAAAAAGTGATATAATATCATACTAAATTGTAGTTTCACTTCGATAACACACGTTACGAAAATTACTAAGATGAAAATACTATTATATCTAAGTTCTGGCATAAAAAGCTTTACCTCTACAGGGACATTGTAATTAAACTCTATTTTTTGTATGAGTGTATATGTTCCTTTCGTTGAGACTTCGATACAAGCAATGGTTTTCTTAAAAAAAAAGTCAATTTCTATCTAACAATATGGATAAGAATTAATGGATGCTATGGATAAGGATACACTTCTTAAATAATTTTAATAGATTCTTTTTTGTATAGTACCTGAGAGTTATCTTATAATAATATTTACAATTTCTTTTAAAATAAAATTATTTAATTTTTCTTTTAAAACAAAAAATAATTTTCAATTTACTAAGTTCCGTCGTCTAAAACATCATATGCTATCGTGTATTATAATTTTATTACAACTAAAACCAATATAAACACAAAAAAGAATAAATTAATATTTTATAAAACATTAGTAATTTAGTTTTCATTATACAAAAATTTTATGCAAATAACATTTTGATCGCAACCAATCAAAGTCATATATTTAAGTTTATTAGTTTACTTGTTTTATTCTCGTATTATTATGTATAATCAACAATTCTAAATAAATAGATATTTGATTCTATTTTCGAAAGACTAGTGTATTGAATTAAATTTAGAAGTTTTACCATCATATATCCTCCTACTCAATAAAGTCACATCTAAAAAATTAAGCCTTTTCATATGACAAAGTAAATTCCTTCCATCTATGAGACAATATCATTTTTCATACTGTCCCTCCAGGTGATACGATCATCCATCAAGTTTCACCAATTAATTTCTTTTTCTATGTGAGTCTAATATTAGTAGAATTAGTATAACCTTGTTATCAAAATCTTTATTCAATGCAATCCTATAAAAACACTCAATGTAGTTTCCTCCTTAGACATAACTACATTCACATCAAACACGTGCCTACACACACATCAACAACATTTCACAATAGATTTTGACAAAACTCCAACCTCTACTCGACTACACACTTTCACAATAGATTTTGACAAACTTTAGACTCTACTCACTTACACACATTCATAGTAGATTTTTGCAAAACCTCAATCTCTACTTAGCCTAACGAGCATCCACACTTGTTTAACAAGACACTCCTAGAGGTTTACTCGCTTTATGAGTCCTAATTTATCTAACGAATAATAGTCCCTTTTAAGCTTATTGGATTTTCATTAATTTATTTCGTCAAGTGAAGGAATTGAGTCACCCAATAATCAGTCATTGGGAAAAAAAATTACAGAATTTCACCCAGTACTCGCCCAGTAATGAAAACTCCTGAGAGCCTTTTTCACAAAGCTTGCTTAACACGTATCATGACTTGAGCTATCTAAATTTTTATAAATTCATTTTATACAACAATGCCAACGAGTATGCATAATCTCGTAAACCTCAAATATATTAGATAATCAATTTGGACTTTCTAAACAATTGTACTCATTTCTCAATTCAAAAGTATCATCTTTTATTTCAAAAGTACCTTAAGATATAATAAATTGACTAAAATATATATATATATATATATATATATATATATAAACCAATACCTACACAAACATATAACATCTCCACATATTTTCAATCACAATTTAGTTATAACAAACATATCAACATGTTATAATTCACATAACAAAACAAAGATCATATCATACCTATATTAGATTATTCAATCAAAACATTACTAAGAAAATTACTAGTTTCTCTTACCTAAATTGGACTTCTTACTCAACTATACTCTAAAGACTTTAATTCTCACATGATACTTTACCTATAAAGAAATCATCAATGAAACACACTAATGATTACATACAAAAATTCATCTTGAACCTTTTGAAATGCATGCAATCTTATCATAATGACTCAAGAAAAAAAGAGAAAAATGTGTTGGAGGTTTTGATCAACAAAAGGATTATGCTTAAGCTAAGACTCCTATGGTAATATATGATCTTCAAATCGATGTGCAAAGATGTCAAAAATTTAGAAAAGGGGTAAAAAAAAGGGGAAGATAATGGTTTTCTAGACTAATGGTAACTTTCATAACATGTGGTTCTATTAAGTTGTCTTTCTATTTATAATTTGACTTTCTAATAAAATAATTAAGTGTCATTTATAAAAAAACTATTTCTGCTTCTAGTTATTTTGTAAGTCATTATATATTTAGTATCTTATTGCCTAATTTAATTGAACGACTACTTACTTAAACAAAGTGATGTCAAATTATGTCAAAATTCCAATTTTTTTAATGATGTCAAATGTGAGTCAACCTATTCGTGTGGTGGTGCTTGCCGACCTCGCACCTAGTCAGGAGGAGATGAGAAATAAGAGGCAACGGCAAATTAGGGTTCGAAATATGAGATGAAAGGGGAATAATAAAGGACGGAAGTAAATTGTCACCGGGCAACTTTTAGTAATCTGCCTTTTTGGCTGGACTAGTGGAATGGCCTATCAGACTTGACCATTTTTGTCATTCCCAGTTGATATAGTTGAAGTTGATTCCTAAATTATAGTTGATAGTTTATGATAGTTGAAGTTGATATGCAGCATATATGCAGCAGGGTATTTTCATGCCAATACAACAGCTTTGATTTGAGAACCAACAACAACTTACTAAATACAAGAGTTTTTTCTTGTACAGATGAGATTTGACCTAACTACTATATAATAATTTTTTATTCTTACTACTATATTTTATACACCAAATTGAGTTAAATCTATGAACATCCAAAATAGTTATTTTATATCCAAAACATGTTTTGCCAAAGGAAATGTGAATGTACTATAACATAACCATTCGGAAAAGCATCGTCATCGCTCATCAAAGGCTTCATGGTCATGCCAATGAAGCTCCTTCGTGTTCAAATTACTGAAAAATAAAGCAAAAACAAAAAACCTAGACATCACAATACTGTTTAAGTAGATAATAGCAACTCATGGCAGAGAACTTGTCATTTGTGCTACTTTTTCAGATTGCCATAAGGTCACCATAATTTCGCATAAGTACTATTGATCCTCCAAAAAGTCCCGCAGCACGCAGCAATTTCTACATGGCAAATAAAGAAGAGAATCAACATTTATTCAAGATAAATCAAGCTTAAAGAAGAAATACCTTTACAATTAAGTAAAAACTAAACGGCAATAATCACTAAATAGCCCGTGCAACAATCTTATTCATGTTCTACAACCACACTTACTACCAGCATTTCCTGTAAAACTAAGCTCATGAATATCCTAATTAACCAGAAACTTCGGTGGTTGCCTAGTATAGGTAATAAGTTACAGCATGTATCCATTACTCCTAGGATAAGAAATTTATAGGGTTCAACTGCCCATACTATATTTTCTACAATAATCACAGATCGTGCATCATGTCTTAAGAGCTTCTTGGAAAAACTGATAATAATGTTTCACAACAGAGTGCGCCTAAATTCCTACGAAACTAATGCTCTCTTTGGGTGAGAGGAAAAGAGAAATAGAAAGGAGGGGAAAACTGGACAATGATGTATTCTCTTATGCTCAGTAGAAGAGACAATATAGAAACGGAAAAAAGGAGAAAAGTTGACTGTTAGAAACAAAAATTCAAATTATTCTTTCCTTTGGTTTTCTCTTCAATTCAAATTTCAAAATGTTCTTTCCGCATTCATTTTCTCTCTCAGACGAACAAAGGGCAATGCCATTGTCATTAAGATGCAGTCAATGAGAAGAGGACAGACATTTTCAAAACATTAAAGTAATATAATATAACAAACAACGGTAACAGCTAGCCAGAGGAACAAATACCCAAAAGCCACAGGATCATCAACACAACGACTTATAAAGGCGTGGCGTGTAATTGGAACAGATGCAAATGCAATCAACAGTTGCTTCATAACCCAAAAGAATCCATAAATTCGGATGGGATCTTCGAATTCAATCAAGAATTGAACCACCTCCATATAGCATTCCCACCAAATGACAGGTACAACGGATCCAACACCACAAGGTATAAAATCATGGGTTCCTCACGTAGCTATTATGTTGCAACGATGAGTAACATGGGCGGCGGGGATAATGACAACCCATTACCACAATAAATAAATAAATCAAGTTTCTTCCTAATCACCTTAGCATAAAAACACACAGAACAGCTAGAGTTCAAAAAGAGTCTCATTTCACATATAAAAACTGTAAAACTTCAAAACACTCTTGGGACCATTGCTTGATTCCATTCTCCTGTATCGCACAAAAACAAGGTACAGACCCTAGCAGTTTCATTTGATGACATGGCAATCAAACCAATCTATATTGGAACCAATTACGTTTTAAAACAAATACGAACGCAAGGATAACGAAACGAACGGGACGGGTGCGAAACGAATACAAGAATGCGTTAGAAAGAGAGATTACCACGTTGAAGGCCCATTTCTCATCGTCGTAGATTTGAGAATTGAAGAAATCCTTGAGGTACTGAATCGAAACTACAGAGTCGGCCATTAATGTGGAAGGAAAGGCAAAAGCAAAGCACCACAAACGAGAGATTGGTATTAGGGTTCTGGGTTTTGCGTTTTTCGTTTTGCTTTTTCCGCTCTTAAGTCCTTTATTTTTTTTTATTTTTTTTATCTTTGCTTTTATAGCTTCTTTTGTTTTTTTTATTTTCTATACTTTCTTTCCGGGGCAAATATAAATGTTTATATTTAATTTATTAAACTGAATAATTTATAAATTCATATAAGATCTTATTTTATTATGTAATGTTTTTTTAATGTTATAATTTTAAAAAAATTATGTTAGCAGTTGAGTTTTGTAACAACTAATAGTTTTATAATTTTTTATTCGTATTAAAGTTTTCGTAACTTAAAAAGTTATTAAAATATTGAAAATAATATTATAAATATATATATTAATATCAAAATATTTTATATTTTAAGATCTTATGTAATATTAAGTTTTAATTTTAAGATATTTATTATGACATGTCTTAGGGGGAGTTTTTATATAAAAGAGTTTTTGAATTTAATATTTGTTAGGTTTAATGTTTCTAGGTCTCTGTTTTCGTCCAGAATCTCAAATAGGATCATTTCTTTTTTGGCGTTTTAATTGGGTCTTTATTTTTGTAAAATTGAATTAAATAGGACATTTCCGTTAAATTGATGAAACGACATTAAGTGTTCTATCAATTTTATAAAAATAAAGACCAATTGAAACGCCGAAAAAGAAAGGGTCTTATTTGAAATTCTGAACGAAAAGACCTATTGAAACATTAAACCTATTTTTTAAAACATTTGTATTGGAAAATATACTTTCTTAAAATATTTGTGTGTAAAATGTTCTAAAATTTTCTTTTATTTCTAAAATATGTGTGCCATTTACGGAGTATTGAATCAATAACTTATTAGGAAAAATGTCTATTTATTGTTTTTGAAATATAAAGAATAAAACTTAGATGATGTGGTCAGTACATGTCATCTCGATTTACTTACTCTAAAAATATTGGTGTGATAAATAAGATAAAAATTGTTTAATTAAAGATTAGAAGAAATTAGAATATTCTAAAATTATTTTTACTATGTCTAACCTAGATCGTCTAATTAGTGTATTTAATAGTGTACTCAATTAATTAGTGTATTTATTACGATGTATATGTTTCTAAAAGTGTTGGAAGGTAACAGCAAGCATCCTAATCTTTCAGACTTAAAAAATCTCGATATTATTAAAGAAATAAAAAAAAAATCTTAGTCATTGATGTACGATGACAACTTGTTTGATGAACACATGTACTTATTAAAGATATCTCAATATATTAGAACATAATATAAATGATTTAAATAATTTTAAAATTTATGAAATGTTTTAATTCAAAATTGAATGTCAATAATGTTTGTTTTGGAAGAAGATATAGATATGATAAGGAACATTGTGCATTTTTTTCAATGTTTGGTATATGTCAATTCAAACTTTGAATAAACAATTCTGCTTTGTACGAAAAATAAAAATTAATCTTCAAATTTTATTACACAGTGTCAATTTAGTTATAAAAATACATTTTAATCTTAATTATGAGGACGTGATTACTTCATTTTTTTACTTGTTGAACAACTAGATCAGAGTCTTCATGGTTTCAAAAACTAAATAGAAAGGAATTCACTTTATCCATAATTCACTGGATTTGATAATGATATGCATAGTTACCCAAATTTTTATGTACTTTTTTTAATCCACGGTTGAAATGAAAATGAAAAAAAGGACGGTCCTGATTTTGATGTACTTTTTTTTAATCAATCATTTTTACGTACTTAGAACTCACATTTGAATAATGTCAACCTGTACTATCCATTTTGTATAACAATAATTTTAATAAATATTTTTCTATAAGTTTACCTTAAATTTATAACGACAAATTTATATTACAAGAGTTAATTTGATATATGTATATCCTCTATTAAAATAATACTAAAGTTCTTTACAAAGAGGATTACAAGTTTCTTTGTTAGTCACATACCATCTTTCATATTTTGTTATTATCAATTATTTAGATTACAGTAAAATAAGATGTCTTTATTCTTTAATATATCGAGGGTACATCACATTTCAGGTTTTTTTAGAGTTAAATTAGAAAATAATTGTAACTCACCACTTTTCTTATATTCATTTATAAATTATTACTTATATATATATATATCACCTCAACTAATATTATTATTATTTTCTAACTATAATTATAAAATAATGATATTTTGACAACATTTTTTAGATAATATTTTAACATCATTTACGTATTATTGATTGATGTTAATGTTTATAATTATTATTATTAATTATAAAATAATTTTGAATCAATCATATTAAAATATTTGTCAAAAGAATATTATCAAAAGAATATTGTCAATCAAATATTATAAAGTATCATTATCCTAATTATAGTTATTATAATATTCATCATTGTTGTGACAGTTACAGGTCTTGTAATTGCTAATGCGGTGGTTAACATTTGAATTTTTTTTCATTATAATAACGAGTGAAAACACGTGTTTACTTTTTCTATGATAAAATATAATTAAATTATAATTATAAAAATAAATATAAATAACTTTTACACATTAATTATAGATAGTTTTTATTTATTTTACAGATAATTTTTATTTATTTAATTTAAAAAATTATTAAATTTTAAAAATAAATATTTAAATTAAAAAATGTCGTTTAAAAATAAAATTAAAGAAAAATGTAAATATCAAAAAGAAAATTCCTTTTTTATATAAGTATATATTACTATCATAGTATCACCTTTGCTCAATATTTTGTTATTACAGTTGCTTGCTGTATTATTTTTACTGTTATTATTATTTTTACTATCAGCATGTCTTATAATTATTTATACCACCATTATTAATTTTTTTACTTTTATAAATAAATAAATGTAAGTTTAATTCAATTTTGTAAAATAAAGTTATTTGGGGGAGAGAATTACTTCTTTTTATATATTTTGACACTATCTTTAGTTTTATATGAAAATAATATAAAATTTGGATTGTTTCAATACATTTCTTATTCAATAATATCCAAACTAAACAATACCATTACTATTGTAATTAATATTAGCATAATTGTTATCATCTTTCACCATTTATCATAATCTTCTTTTTATTAAAATGCACTCTAAATATTACATCAGTGTACTTATGGTTATCCTTGTATATTCTAATTTTATGCTCTATCAGATTGTAATCATCAAAATTTCCTAATGGATGGTTTAAAACAATTGAATGTTTGTTCAAGTTACGACGCCATCTCTCGTAGGTTCCTGCAACATTGCAATTTGCAAACTCTTTTGCTGTACAGATGAAATAATCTGTCTCTGAGAACGTCTAAAGTAGAGCACTCACTCTCGAACAAACATTATGAAAAAGAAATTGACAGTGTTAACCGATGAAGAGAACATGCACATTGTAGTGTTACACTCGGCCTTGCTCATGGGTTAAAATCGTAGAGACAGTTTTCATTAAGTTTATGAAAAAAGGAAAAGAATACACATAGTACCAATTTACATATAAACCCTCCACAATAGAGATTCGTGTAACAACTCAATCGCAGGAACACATGTTGCTCAATAACTTGGGAAAAGGGAAGATGGAAGAAGAGAGCATTGGTACTGAAAAAAAAGAAATACATGACCTATCTCCAAAACACCTCTGCAAGTACTAATGAACTCTCTAATCTTCCATTGAATGATTGCACTGATGATAGTCAGAAACCTGAACTCATGCCTAAATAAAGGGAAAAGAAAAAGGTGTTTGGCTTCCTTTTCCTATAAAAAAATAATCAACCCACCAGATTCTTTTGTATTGTTTTTGTTTGTCTTTTTTCTTATTTAATTAGCCAATATGGTCATGCTGCTGAAGATGATGGTGTAGAATTACGATTTCCCACACCTTGACGTCCACCACCACGCCCACCTCCATTTTGATTTGGCCGTTGAGAACTCCTAGGTTGCCCTGAGAATTCTCCTTGGTTTCTGAATTCATTTCTGCCATAACCTCGTCCACCACCAAACTTCCCACGTGCTCTGAAACTGTCGCTTCGGAAACCACCTCTTCCTGGAGGATACCTCCCTCTCCCACTACCGCTTACTAGAATAAGAAAAAAAGTATAATCAACGTCTAAAAATGATCATGTTTAACTCAATATAAAAGTAAAAATGAAAATATATCAATGTACCTCGTGTAGTAGTTCTTTTTTCCTCAACAACAGCTTGTCGCTCACCAACAGAGATAGGTGAAGCCTGAAATTAGATTTTAGCAAGGTGCCTAGATCAGCAACATGTTGGTAAAACCAGAAAAAAAAAATGCAAATATATCTTATACTTTGTCGAGACAAGTAAAAAGTAAAAAATGATACTTCGCATAGGCACTGGTGAAAAGTAAAAAAGTTGGTTGACTTGTTTTTGTGGTCGGCGCAAGGAACAGTGTTACAATGACGAGAGAATGGAAAATATAAATCATGTGATTGGGGGGTGGGGGATTATTGCCTTTTTGACACGTACACCAATAAGCAAATAAAAATTATAAAAGAACAATTTTTTTAACAATAAAATGCGTCAGGCAAGAAGCAAAACAATAAAGCAGCACAGTACCAAGCTACTTCCTCAAACAGTTAGGCAAAGGAATCTATGGCTTCGTATCACATTTTTTTTCGAAGGTTAAAATCATCTGGGCCTATCACCAAAAATTCACAGGGCCCAGAACATTAAAAGTGAACTTATATTTTATGTAGTGCAACAACGAAAGCATTGTACATAGTTTTCTAATTATGACAAATTATCTGCATCACTTTACCAAACAAAGAGAAAATTGATTATTAAGTTTACTTGTTAACCACTTTGAGTCTTCTAAACCATTTCAAAAGAAATTGTTATACATGTTCGATAAGACTAGCTTTTCCCTATGGTGGTGAGTATTGACAATGAAGGGTCAGCAAGGGCACAGAAAAGTGTAGCGGCGATGGGAATGCTGAGGTGGGCGAGAAGACACGAGATACAAGAGAAGATTAGTTCAAGATCAGATGTATCAGAGAGAGGGAGCGAGTTTAAATGGCGC